TTTTTTAGTGAGGCATGAAGACATTTCCAGATGCGATTGTGGTATTAAAACCATATGTTTTTTAGCAAGACATCGGGACATTTCCAACTATGATTGTGGCGCCAAAACTGGGTATTTTTCGGGAGACACTCAGTACGTTTACATGGACAGTTTAATTCCACTTTCATTCGGAATGAAAGGCCATTCTGATTAAAAGTGATCATGTAAACGGTCATTCCGATTGAAAATTAAAGCCGATTAAAGGGGGTGGCTTATTCCGTTTGTCATTCCGAATGAAATAATTTTGTGTGCATGTACACGCTCATTCCTCTTTAAGTTCATTCCGGTCTTTCTGCGCATGCTCGTTTCCTTGCCTTTCTGGCGCGATGACGTATATAGTGCGCATAGCAAGATAGAGTAGTCGGACTCATTGCGCTCACCGGTTTCCATATTGCCAAAGCACGGTCTTCTATCTCCCTTCTTCGACCTTCTATCTCTCTTTTCCTCCTCAACAGACGAAGCATTAGCAGAACAAGGTTGTTGTCGTACTGCTGCTTCAAGAATATAAGCAAAACAAGCCCGAAAAAGGCACTAAGAACAGCGTCGTCAAGCATCTTGTTATCCGGAGTGAGGACTACAGTGTTTTCTTCCGGTAAACATAAACACGTAACATCCGCCCCGCCCCCTATCCAATCAGAAACCTTCCCTGCCCCAAACCTTGCGCAGACCTGAATACAGGCGACTGAACTGATCTCCCATGTAAACCCTCATTCGGGATAAATATTTCCCATGTAAACTACCTGGAAAAACTTTAATTCCGAATGATTTCATTCAGATTTATTTCATTCTGAATGAGAAGCCATCATGTAACCACACCCACTGAGACAATTCCATATGCAATTGTGGCATCAAAACCATGTGGTCTTTTGTGCCATTTTTTTACCATAACCAAGTTGTTTTTGTGCCTAAACATAACAAAGAGGACAGTGTATCTGGGGTAGGCTTTCACTTTCTCTGCGTATACTGTTAATTAACATCAACCGACAATTCCTGCATTTTACACCTTTAAGCTTTTCTTCCTTGGTCACATTATTGTTATTTTTTATGGTTCATAAAATGTGTGGTGGAAGTTAGAGAAAAAGAAACTGGGCTGTCGAGAAGGAAGTTGTGTTGCTGTTGTTATACCAAAAGAAAACGTATAATAATGATGATGTAAGCAGACCCATATAATCTGAATCTACAGCCTGATAAAACAGACAGTGTTTACTATGTAAAGTTTGGCATGTAGTTAACATTTAGCACATTAGCATGTGAAAGCAGCATTGGTTGCATTAGTCAATAGAATGCACCCTTTGGAGACGATGATATACAGAATTACATAATAAGCCACCCAATATCCAACCAGCTTTACATCCCTCAACACATTTGGTCGTGGAGGTAGAACCAGATAAAAATAACATCAATGATACACAGATAAATCAGCTCCTCCAGGTCTGTGTTGAGAGACAGGAGCGTCTTTTCTGTCACTGTCGTCATAAGTGTGTGTAGGTGAGGAAAGAGGAGGAGGTGGTGATGTTTTATTTAAAGTGAAACTTGAACTGTTTTATAATCAGTGCAGAAGTGTTCCCATGCTGCATCTGTCATGTGTTAGCCCTTCCAGATATCTCTCTCTGTGGGAGTGAACAGCACCTGAACATAAAGAAAGTGGGTCGACACGACAGAGTTCTTCCTTTCGTTGTCTGTGGGTTTTAATTGGAAGAAAACTGTATATTCCCCATTGTATAGTACATTGTTAGTTCAGCAGTTTGGTGATTACAGTCAGCGTTTAAAGCTGCATTAATTTAGCAGCAAACTAGCAACTGTTTGATATGTAAAGATATAGTGGAGTAATGGTGTCCTGAGCAGAAAATGTAGTCACTCTCCCTCTGTGTGTGTTGTAATCTGAGCTTCTCTGTTGCAGCAAGTGCATGTTAGAGGATGTGATTTCCTGTGTGTGTATCCCAAAGGCTAGCTAATTTCCACCCCTCTGCACAGCATACAGCAGTTACAGATGGTTTCAGCTGATAATGATGACAGCATCATCATGTAAGTGTAGTGCCAACCCTCTGGACCCCTCGAGGTTAACACTATTAGCTCTGTCAGCACTGTTGCCATTGTTAGCACTGTTAGCACGGTTAGCGGCTAGCTGCTGGCTTAGCCACCTCCATGTTGAGAGCCATGTGCAGACAATTCCGGCAAAGACTTTTCTTACTCATACCAACAAAAAGTGGTGTATCATATCACTGCCAAAGGTTCCACCTGACTGCATTACAAACTGACGCTGCCCAGCAGGGTACCATACCACCATAAGAGGTCCCTTTTGGTGTCAGTGATGCCGATAATGACTGACGAAGCGGTGGTATTTGATGGCTTTGGAGTGAGAATGGGCTGTTCTGTTCACGCAGCCTGTTGTCTACGCAAATGCTAGTTGATAAGCAAGTATATCTGTCAGCACTGTTGGCACTATTAGCACGGTTAGCTGCTAGCCGCTGGCTTAGCCATTTCCATGATGAGAGCCGTATGCGAACAATTCCGGCTGAAACTTTTCTCATGCACTGTTGTTACGCATACCTATGCTTGCCTGAGAATAATACAGTTCAGTGGAAAGAAACAAGGTCCATTTCCTCAAGTACTGTACGTAAGAACATTTTAAGGTACTTGTACTTTACTTCAGTACTTCCATTTTATGTTACTCTATACTTTCGTGTTGGTATTTTTACTTCAGTTAAGAGTTCTTCCTTCACCACTGATACAAGTACTGGCATCTAGGCATACGGAAGGCAGAAAATATTACAAACGCTGTTGCGTGCAGCTTAAGCAAAGGCAGCATCATTGCAACAGGAACCAGCTGCTGATGATGCTCATTATTTTCACACACACACACACACACACACACACACACACACACACACACACACACACCGTTGCTTGGTGATATGTTGGATGTTTTTAGAGCACATTAATAAGATACATCTGTACAGCGTGGGAGATTCAGTTCCTAAAAATGACAGCGTGCGACACGAAGAATGAAAAAACAAAAGGTGGTGTATGAAATAAATAAAACCTATTACTATTACACCCTCACACACACACACACACACACACACACACACACACACACCTATGCTGCCGAGTCCTTTCTTTGGTGTCTGCTCTCAGCAGGATGTGCACTCGTCTCCGTTTGCTCTCATTGATTCAGTTCTCTGCACTCTGAGACGTTACCGTGGAAACGGGAGACGTCGACCCCCCGTTATGCATTTCTATTCATCTGTATTAAGTCTCAGCCGCCTCATTGAGAGCAGAGTAGTACGCCTTGTATCACTTCATCTCTCTCCATCTCCACATCAGCTTCTCGCTTCCTCCTCTTTTTATATTTACTCTCTATTTTGGTTTCTGTCTAGTTTTCACTCATCTGTATCCTCACTGCAACTTTCATCGCTCCTGTCTTTCTATTTCTGTCCAGATGTTGTTCTGCCTCTCTCCTCTCCTTGATTTGTCTCTTTCTTTTTTCATAAACATATATCTGTCATCTCTCTCTCCTCCCGGCCCCTTTCTCTGTCTATTTCCTCTTACTCTCTCTTTGTGTTTTATAAATTACTTTCAGTTTTTCTCTCTCTTGACTTGCAGTTCTTCTCCCCATTACCAATCACGGCAAAAAAAAAAATACAGTAAAGAGCTACTTTAACAAGCCAAGGTTAAAAACAGATCAAACTTAAATCACCACTTCCTTGTAACTATGATGGAGGAGACTAAGAACTTGTCTTCTCAGGCAGTGTTGCCCTCAGACTGTACATAGTGTCAACCAAGCTTCTCCTGCTGACCATCGGTGTCAATTTGATTTAATTTGATTTATTCAGTGTTTGTTTTTGCACATTTTGTAAATGTGTAAATGTCATTTCCAGTCACAAACAACAACCTTGTTACTAAAAAACGCTTAAATGCTATGTGTCAAATATAAGTTGCACTTATAATTTAGTGAAATCATTATTTTAGGGAATTATTTATTTATTATTATTTGATTATTATTTTAGTACTCTAAAGTACCCGTAGGAGTACACATAACCCCATTTCAGAAACAGTAATGTGGATGATAGCAGCTACATTTGCCGTCTTGAGTCACATTTTCAATTTATGCTTCAGTGAAATGTTTCCGCCGCCGTAATCTGCACGGACAGCTGTTCAAAATCACACAGATATCCTGCTGTATATGTCTCCCGTGGTACTGACATAAAAAATGTTTTGGTTCAGTAAATGTCTGCTGTCAGTCAGCCTGGTGAAGGCAGTTTGGCTGGCTGCTGTTCTCTCAGCTCCACAGGAGCTCCTGCTGCTGACAAACGGCTGCTTCTGTGAACAGATGCTGAATAATCTGAATCTGAAATCAGTGGTTTTAGAAGTTTGTGTGACAAATATGAAGTTGTCTACAACATAACAAAATTATGTAGTTGTACAGCATTAAAAAAAAGTGTTGAGCAACACTTTTCTCTGTCAAAAATTCATAATTTCTGTTGAGCGACACTCCAAGCCAACAATTAGGCTTTCGTAAAGGTCAATTGAGGACGCTGTAAATTCAAATTACTGATATGTCACAGAAAAAGTATCACTGTAAAGGAAATAATTACTAATATCTTGGCCAACAGTAAATGAAGATAGAAAACGATTTTAATTTCAGTTCTTGTTTGATAGAATTACCCAGAAGATTACCCAGAAGTGCTCTTGCAAGGCACAGAGCTGCTGGTTCAGCTGGTAAACTGTCTTTTTCCGGCTGCTGCACTGTAGCAGATGTTTTACACTGACTCTGCTCTTGAGCAAGGCACTGAGGGTAACTCAAATACTAAAGTGTCACTCATTCTGTCTGTGTGTATCACATGTACCATGCGTACTGTGTGTGTGCGTGTGTGCGCGAATGTGTCCAGACTGTCTGTTTGTGTGGTCTGATCAGTGTGTCATTGTGTGTCCCCTCTCCCTCTCCCTCCTCCTGCCAGTCCCCCCAGAGGCCATCGGCTTCCTGTCGGCGGTGGGCGTCTTCATCGTGGCGTTGGCCGTCCTCTTCCTCTTCATCAACAAGAAGCTGTGTTTCTCACGCATCGGTGGACTGCGCTGTCTGGAGCAACATGGCCGCCGGAAGAAAGGACGACTGGGAATCCGCCAGGGGCTCGGTAAGTGACGTCTCTTTATGTCTACCTGATCAGTGAACAGTGAAACCTTGTAGGCAAGCGGACACAAAAACTGTCAAGATGATTAAAAACAGTTTCTTCAGTTTTAGTTAGTCAACTGCACTTCCACAATTAAGGCTACAGGAATCAATATTCATATATGTTATTTTTGTGCACTTTTTGAGTATTTGTTTTGCATTTCGGCGCTCTTGCAGAACATATGTTGATCACAGGAAGCTCTGGTAGCTCTGAATGTACTCCAGCCCACCAGAAAATAAAATATAGGTCTTTGTTTTTATTATTACTTCTATGCATACACATCCTCTGTTTTCGTACAAGGCAGAAGTAAGTGCTGATGCCATTTAGTAGTTTATTAAAACACAGAATAAACTCACTTAGTGACATTATGATGTGCTGAGGACGGCCCTGCCAGCATGTTTTTTAAAATACCAACCATGTCCGTTGTTCATGATTATATCTGTAAATCTGCAGCATTTAGCTGCACCTTTTTTATCCTATGGAATCATTTCATCTCAGCTTCAACTTTTCTCTCCACACTGCCTGATTACGACAACATAGAGTCATTTAGTTTGGCGGACTTGTTGGACAGATGAAGTCACAAGACATTTAGGATTTTGTTTTACCTTTTTATTTTACAGAATCTCACAGCTGTATGGGTGAACTGATTTTCAATGAAAGACAGTTTCTTCATCCACCCTGCAACTTCTGTGCTTTGTCTCCAGCTTTGATTTACGCCAAGGCCAACATGTTTTCACTCAGAAGTTGAGGAAACCTATGTTTCCTATGAAGGCTGAAGTTTGTTTAGAAAGGACACTATGGCACATAACTAGCAGGAACTGACACAATGCACTCGTGGAATATGGCAGCTTGCTCAGTGGCCCTACGCTTCAAACTATGATGCTCTGGGTACCCCTTGATCATCAGTTTTGGACAATCAGGAAAGGAGTGTCAGTTTCTACTTGTTAAATGCTAGAGTGTACTTTCAAAATAAACCTACATTTTCAAAGGAAAATAGGTTTCGGAAAACTACTTTAGGTTTGGGCAATAAAACTACTTGGTTAGGTTTAGACTTAAGGTCATAGTTTGGGTTAAGATAAGTGTGATTGTTATATAACTTACTTAAGTAGGTAAGTAAACAAGTCACATAACACATGAGCAACGCTCTGGGTGAAAGTCCTGACTTTCTCAGCCTTTATACTACATCATCGCTGCAAATGGGTTTACATTGGACTTAGTTGAATGCCTGGTGCATCTCAAACAGACACTAAAACCTTTTCAGCAGTCATGGGCTGGCATGGCTTAGCTTAGCTTGGCTTGGCTTGGCTTGGCTTGGCTTGGTATGGGCCATCAGCTCAGCATGGCAGGGAATTGCATTTAAAACAGGGCTACCCACTTGAAGGTGTGTCTTCAACTGATGACATTTAAAAGCAGCGGGCTGATCCACAGTTTAAGTCCCTTGTTATTTTTGCTGCATGTGTTTTTCCACAGCAGGGCAGGTACTGTAAAAGAAGTTTACCTGTTGGAGCTGAGCTGATTTTACTCTTCCTCCCTGCTGTACCATTACACTTGCCTTTATTGAAGAAAAGTCACTAACAAAGTTCCACTAATTCAGCAATAAACACATTTCATTTCTTGTGCATTCTTCTCAATAAAAGTCCCCCGTTATTTTGTTATGTAAAGCTTTTGTTGTGAAGCCGAGATGAGCTTTCGAGCAGCAACTTCACACAGCTTCTTATACAGCAGATAGCAAACATAAAACAGTGAAATAAAGCACATATGTAAAGTAAAAACAGGCCGCAGGAGAGAAACTAAACTCCAAACCACAGAGATTCAGTTAGGGGCTACAAAAGTACTGAGAGCTGAACACAGAGACTCTTAAACAACACCTTTCTCTCTGGTCTCCTGCAGACATAGGGGAGGAGAGTCTTGCAACACACACGCGTGTTTCAGAGGGAGAAGGTGAGACACCACCACTACCTGCTTGAGGGCGGGTGACCCAGTCCATCTGCAGCTCAGTGTGGCACAGCTGTCTGAATTGAAAATGGGAACGCAAATCGGAGCGGCATGGCTTGACTCGGCGTGGCCAAAAGTGACAGTGGAAAAGGCCCACTGACCAAGCTGCCATATTTGACACCCTGGGGAGGAAACCATGTTGTCCTGACACAATATGGCACCAAATCTGGAAATCGCAGACATCTGAAAAGTAGTGCATCTTGAGCTTCAGTTAGTAGCTGTTCTGTAGCTGTCAGTCATATCACATGATCTTTAGCAGCAGCTGGAGTTTGCACAGTTCTCATTGAGCTGTAGATGTTCATATTTTCTTTTCTTTTTTCCATCAGCACATTAACTGCTGAGGACAGGCACAAAACAACATTATAATGGCCGTTTCAGGCGTGTGTTTTTTTTTGTTTACTTTGAATAAGACTCCGAAACAAGTGTCTGAAATGACTCACATCGGAGGAGGCGAGAGCAAAGTTAGCACGACCCATAGAGCCACAATAGCCACATAATGGGAAATACGCCAGGTTGAAATAAGCTGGAATCTTCCTTTGACATTTAACGATCTTCTAATCTCTCCCTTAGAAAGAAAGACAATGACACTGTTTCCTAAAAGGTTGAGCTGAATATGAGAGCAACTGTGAGTGCTGCGGCTTTCTAGTCAAGGCTCACCTTTTATATAACCTGAAACATCTCAGTAGGAGAGAGAAAGAGAGCGTGTGACTCCTGTATGCATTATATGACTCCAATTAAACTCTCCAGTAATGGAGAAAGAGAATGTGGGTGAGTTTGTATTTGTGCAGTGGTTCCTGTGGGCGAGTGTGTATGTATGAGAGAAAGAGTTGAGTGAGTCAGCCACATACTGCCACAAACCTCTGCAGCAGCTCACAACGAAAATATTAACATTAGAAAACCTTGAAGAAAAATTCAGCAAAGAGAGAAAAAGGACACTCATTTTGTACTTTTTATTCTCTCTCTTTCTGTCACTCTGAAGAGCCTTTCCTTTCCTCCCACTTGTCAAACACTGCAAGCACACGGAGCAAAGGTCACTGAAGTATGACAAAAAGTTACATAAAAGGATCATACCAGTGTTTCTGCATGTTGGACTTACGCTGTGCCAAAAGCTGTAGGTTCACTGTGTGTATGATCTGTGGTAACTTGATTAATTGTGTTTTTGGTGACACTATTGTAAGGCTCTCTTGGTTGACATGCCTTTCCAGTGTTGTGTGGAGGTTGGGCACAGGGTCTGTGGAGTGGCAGACCGGCATTGTGCTTCAGTCAGTTATGGGGGTATCACACTGCTCATCCTTTTCTGAGAAAGTTTATTCTAGGGTAATGGAAAGGAGGCTCTGACTGAATGCCGAACCCTAAATTCAGGATGAACAATGTGGATTCCCTCGTGGCCGTGCAACAGGGGACCAGCTCTATCCTTGTAGGGCTCCTGTAGGGCTCACGGGAGTTTGCCCATCCAGTCTGCATGTGTTTTGCGGACTTGGAGAAAGCTTATGACTTTGTCCACTGGGGAGTCTTGTGGGTGGTACTGCCTGAATATGGGGTACCGGGTTCGTTCCTGCGAGCCACCTGGTCCTTGTCTAAGTGAGAGCTGTGTCTACATACTCGCCGTAAAGTCAAAAGTTTTCAGTTGGTTTTGGCCGGGCCCACTAGGCCCGTTTCCACTGAAGAAGTCACTGGTACTATTTGGGGGGCAGGAACTACTACAGGAACGTCCTCTCGCTCGGCCCTCTCAACCACCGTGTCTCCACTGAGAGAGCGGAGTAGGAGGAGGGTTCCTGTAAAGTTACCGGGCTCTGTATGTGACGTAATCGTTGCGCGACCATTTTGACCGTGGCGACGTAGGGACGTAGGGACGCCGTTAGCCGTTAGCGGTGTCTGTAATAACTCCGGTCATGGCCCGTGAAAAAAAATATTTTTTCTAGCGGATGTCTTAGTTACAACATGATTGAGGTAACTGGAGTAGTTTCATGTCGTATCTGACAACGGGAGGCTTTTAACAGATGACGTCCTGATGTTAGCTTTGCTGCTGCTGTTAGCTGATGCTTTCTAGAAATCGTGATTTCCCAAAACTGAATAAATACCACACATAGCAACACAAAACTGCTTTGCTAGCTCAGTCATGTTGTAACTAAGATATCCGCTGGAAAAAATATTTTTTTCACGGACCGTGACCGGAGTTATTACAGACACCGCTGCTAACAGCTAACGGTTAGCCCAGCCAATCTACGATAACCATGTTGTTATTTACAAAACATCACATCCCGCCTTGAGTATATCCAATCAGCACCAAGTAAACCCCAAGCCCCAGCCAGGAGTTTCTCGGGCCCGTTCTGAGTACCTACCCCGAGGCAGGGACTTGTTTAGCCCCTGTAAAAGTTCCGGAACTCTGTCCTTCGGGGGTGGTTCCTGCGGTGGAGACACGCACCAATGGCCCTGGCCCCTTAAAATTACCCCAAAGTTCCTGCTGTGGAAACGGGCCTACTGTCAGGGGGTGTGAAAGGGTACAGATGACCCCATCCCAGGCCGAGAGGGGGCCCATGAAAAGGTCTATGGTTGACCCTTAAATTGGATCAAAGTACAACAACTTACTTACTGACTTAAATCACTAACAGTACGCTCTATATGTATTTACATGACAACACATTTCAACATGCCATCTGATACTCCTAACCCCGTGCAGGTACTGTGAAATGGTTCAGTCCATCTGACATGGGTCAGGTGTGCCATGTGCTGCTAATTTAAACATGTGAGACAGACAGCTGCCTCATTAGCAAAGTCAGAATATCTCACCAAACATCAGGGGCTCCTAATGGAAAAGTCAGGGTAAAGAGAGAACAAGAAATTGAAGGAGAAGAGAGGCAGCGGACACATGTCTGGCAAATAAGATAAAGAAGGAGCAGGTATGACAGGCAGAGCTGATGGTGAGAGGCTAGGCAGACTAATATTAGCAAATAAAACCTGTTGTATTGGGCTCAGTTTTAAAGCTACAGTGATCATAGTAAACTACAGGACCTAAGGTGTCCATTGGTATCAATCATGTTATGCTATCTTCAAAAATTTCAAAATGGTGTATTTAAATATTTCTGCATACTGGTGTCCACAAACAGTCTTCAAATTGGGTAATTATATATAATTATAATAACTGGGTCAGTTGGGTATGACTGGAAAACTCAAAGTTGACAGCCATATACTCATTAGACTATTTCAGTTCTGCACACAGTTTGAGCAGTATTTAATCAAAGTGGCCTCGAGATCGAGTGGGCAAAAAGAGAAAAATATTTGTTCACTCTTGATTTGACCTAATGATAAAATTTCCTCTATCAGTGTTTGATTTTACTTTTCTCTAATTATTTATTTTTGGCCCAGGACACATGTGACTACCTCTGCATTTCAAAATAAGAAAACAAGGTCTTAACAGTAGATAGAAGTAGATACAAAATACATGTGGACATATTATCAATTGGATTATATTGACAGGAAGTATAAAAATGTATAGGGACCCATCCCCCAGTTGTCCCCCTGCCTGTGTTTCATAACAGCTGGCCTGGTTTTGCCCTCCAGCAGGGTTGTCCCTTGTCACCAATTCTGTTAGTCATAGTCATGGACAGGATCTCAAGGTGCAGCCGGGGGGGAGGGAGGAGTCCAGTTTGGGGACTTAACAGCATCCAGTCCAGTTGCAGGAGAGAACCATGAGGAGCTAATGATATGTTACTGAGCACCAGTTGGAAAAAGATGTACCAAAGATAATTTAATTTGCGAACAAAAACTATGTCTGTTTGTTCAGGTCAAGGAAAATCTGTTATTTTTTGGTTCCAGCTGAGAGACAATTTTGCCAGCATATTTTGCAGCTACATGTTCGCTGGACAGATATGAGAGAGGTATTAATCCTTTTATCTAACTCTGGGCAAGGAGGAAATATTTTTTTAATACTGTAAACATTTTGAGTGGAGTATCACTTCAGTGTTGAACTATACAAAAAAAGTTGAAATAATAATGCTTGTAAAAATGGTTAGAACCTGACAGTGAGAGCTTCCTCTGTGGGCTCAAGAGGGTAAATCCTGCACACTTGTTTAACTCTGGCTGTGAATCATTTTAACTCAAAAGTTTGGTTGCATTTTAAGCTGCAAACAAACTCAGATTTCCCCGGTTTATTGCTTTATAATCGGATTTGAAAAAAGAAAGAAAGAATAAGTCACACTGCCACCAGCCGGATGGTTGAATCCAGGTGAAGATTGTGAGTCAAACACTGAGCAAACACTGTGCTGGTTTGTTGGTTCTCACCTGCAGCAGGTGGAGTCTCTGGTATTTCCAGTCGATTTCCTGAACAAACAACATATCCTGTTTGGAGTCAGCGGACGAGGTAGGGGCTCTTATGCTATGTTATGTTGATGTGATGTTTTAGTCAAATTATATGTAAAAATGTAGTTTGAAGCTGGACTCTGTAATCTGATTTAAATAGTTTCATTGGTGCAAACAATGAAAACAGCGTGTTACTTTCAGTAAATCTAGGGTAACAAAAGTGACAACAGAAACTATGACACTGTTGTGAAATTAAAATTGTGCCTGTTTTCTGGAACTAAGAGCAACAGTCTTTGCTTGGCATCATCTGAAGGGTTTTAAAGGTTTACTTAATGAGATTAAATAATCAGAATATGATGAGGAGATATATGATCCATCCAGCTGTTGACTGTGGTGCATGTCCATGAAGAAGTGGGACTTAAATCATATGTATGCTTTTATTGTTGTACTGTTACTTCCACTCAAGGATCACTGCTTATGTGCTCTGTCAGGTTGTCACGTTTCCAGTGAGTTAGTGTCCTGTACACACGTGTTTCTTTTCATCTATAGGGTTATGAATGACTTAAGTATGACACAACGTTATTGAAAAGTAAGATGCACGTGTGTCTTTACAAACTGAGCACATGTTCAGATGAACAGGTCGCATC